TGGTTGGCGAAGTGTTCCAGGCAGACAAGGGAAGGAATGATCTTACCTGGCCACTAGGTAGCTCATGGATGATGTCTTGAGGACATAAACCAAATTTGCTGGATGGAAATTCCCTTCTCTTCTTCCTTCTAAACATTTAAGGCTCAATAGAAATAGATGATTCTACTCTTTTTTTAAATTGCAGAAATAATGGCTTATTTGGTCATAGGTCAAAGCTTAATGACCATAAAGAAGAGTCTAAATCTTTGAAATACTAATACTAATCAGCTTATTTGCCTACCATAGGGCTGTGGAGAGCCCTGACCCAAACCCAGAAATTTAAATCCTAGCTTTCTAAAAGGTGGGTGGAGGAGAGTAGAGGGAAAAGGAAATTCTTTTATTCCTTCTTGAAGGGTCCTCCCTGGAAATAGTTATTAGCAAGGATATCTATCTGTCTATCTGTCAGTTCTAAGAGATTCACTTCAGAATTTCTGACCCTTTTGTTTTTTATTAGAAATATCATTTCTCATTTGATTTTGGTCTATTCGTGTTTTGCAAGGCTTAGAAGTTTAGGAAACATCTGACTCTAAATGCATATGTTAGAACTTCGTGATCCTAGTGGATAAACTTAATTTATATATATTTGATTATTTTTGGTCTTATCCCAGCACTATATAGGAAGTATAATTCCCAGAGAGGAGCAGCAATGCACAAGGGTTTCATGTGTTACAACAAAACTATTATGGTCAACTATTAGATTTTTCAACTTTGGCTTCTTGTGGAAGAATTAACTTAATTCTGTTCAACACCCAGTCATTTTATTCACCTGATGTTACCTTCATAATATTTTTTCTTTTTTCATGCAGGCATTCTTACACCGAATGAACCAGTGTGCAGCATCAAAAGTTGACAAAAATGTAACAGAGGAAACAGTGAAGGTGAGGAGGTACAATTGGCCCTCGACCCCCACACAAACTCCGCTTAGGTAAACTTTTCTATGGGTGTGGTACTTCAGAACCCTCAGCTTCTCTTCAGTTATACTATAAGTGACCATGCCAGTTGCTTGTGTCAGTAATAATTTGAAAAAGGGGCACTAGGGTTTGGGGAATGAGACAGGAGTTAAGAGGATGGCATAGAAGTCATAGAGAAACTTTTTACTAAAGTCTTGGGAAAATTTGAACAGAGCAAGAAAAATAAACCCGAGAATACGAACCCAGGTGGCTTAGGAAGGCAGGATGTGTGCAAATGTGACATCCAATCTCTGTGATCGCTATAGAACAAAGGATTTGAATGGTCCACTCAATTAGGAAGTCCGCATAATATCTTCAATTCAGAAACAAATATATAAACATTTCCTTTAAACTTTAGGGTAAGAAAATTGTGAAGAGTTTTTGAAAAAAAATAAAGGATAGTAAATGAAAATTAATTATACTGTAATGATATTCGTTTAAGTTGTATACACCATTGATATTTACGCTAATCTACTGTTTTATTTTACTGAAAATAAAAAATTTCTAAAGAATTTCTAATGTTCTTCTGACTGTATTTCCCCATAAATTAAATGCCTAACTTTCAAATTTTCCTACCATGGGAATATTTCAGTTAGCAAGCTTTGGGTTGCAAGCAAAAGAAAGCTGTTGTTCAGATTGACTTTGAAGACACTTTCACTCACGTATCAGGGACTCCAAGACAGAAGAGAAAGTTTAGCACTGGTGACGCAGGGAGGCCAACTGGGTTGCTAGATTCTTTCCAGCTATTCTCTGCCACAAAGATTATCAGCTTTGCCCACCAACAACCCCCACCTCCTGTGGCTGCAAAAGGACTCTGTAACTCTCTCACCTGTCGTTTCCACACGTGACACCTTCTTCTAGAGGGAGAAAAGGATTGTCCATTCCAGGGTACCCTTCTTAAGAGCAAAGGCACCCTGCCTTGAAAAGCCTGCTAACAAATCTGCTCATTTCCTTCCAGCCCATTCTCAGGAAGAGAGTGGGACTGCCATGCTTAGACTGGGCCACTCAGGCCTTGCCCAGACAGCCAGGCTTGGTCCCCAGAGTTGTGTTGGAGTGGAGGAGAAGTCCAGACAAAATTGGGACCCTACCAACAAGGTGGGAGGAAGGCACAGATGTGGGGTTTTCAGCTTGGAGAGAGAGTACTGTACTCACAGACTTGTTTTTTTTTTTTTTTTAACGTGCTTCACTACTGCACTTACTTACACATTTATTTATTTACAGATGTTGTTCTCAAACATTGAAGATATCCTTGCAGTACATAAAGAATTCTTAAAAGTTGTGGAAGAGTGCTTACATCCCGAACCTCATGCCCAGCAAGAAGTGGGAACCTGCTTTCTTCACTTTGTAGGATACATTTTTGTTTGTTTTAAAAGGTCTTTCCCCCTAGTTTTGAAGGTTTAGCTTTTGGCATAGTAGTGTGTGTGAATTTAGCATTAGAAGTAAAATCTGACACCAAAAGTTTGGGGTCTTTTAAGGCCAGAGAAGTCTTCCACTTAGAGCCAGAAAAGGGGAGAGGGCCTCACATCATCCGTTTTACTCAGTGAGGAATAAACAGCCTTTTCTTTTCCCCGACAAGTTAGTTCTTCGCATCCTCTGAAGCTTTGAATTCTAATGAATATTCAGGCTGTTCATAATGAATGGATTTTTATGTTTCTCTCAAACATAGAGCATTTTTCTTTTGAGGCAGAAAACCCTTGCCTTATAATGGCACGACGAGCCTTTTATTAGTCATAATGTTCCCTTGTTAACCGACTTGCGACAAACCTGGAGGTGAACGAACCCCGTAGGCCTGTGACTGACTGTTCTTCAGGGACGTGTTTCCCAGAGAGTTGTCCTGAGCAGTGCCCAGGGAACGAGCCGGCACTGAGCTGTTTCAGATTGCACATCCTGTGTCTGGATGATCATTTTCATCTCTTTATACGTGAAACCTCAAATTACTTAAGCAATCAATTTGCAAAGTACAAAGCCACCTATATTGTGAAAATTGTTTTCAGAACTAAAGGGCATTCATACTAAAAAAGAAAAGAGTGCTGCTATTTATACCATTCCATTGATGCTAATTTTGAGAATACCAGTTTGAATCCATGTATCTATCAAAATGCTACACAATTGATGTTTTATTTAAAAATGGGTAACAGGATTTTGTCACAGAATCAAATTTTGTGTGTTTTAAATTTTACATTTAGTCTTTATAAAGGTTTCCCTATATAATTTCTAGATCTATCTTTCTATATGCAGTGAGCAGGCTCTGTATATGTTCATTTTATAATCAGAAAATATTTCATAAAAATAGTTATACTAAAGGGAAAGGCTTTGTCTTGGGCACAGCTGGAAGCCACGGTGTTTGTGTCCACTTACTCAAGACTGCTCCCCGCTTTCACAAAAGAATTGAAAGAATCAGGCTCTTTTGCCAGCTGGAGTAGTTGCTATCTCGGTCCAGGCCTGCACATGGGAATCTCGTACCCTGACATCCATTTCCTTAGTAACACGTTATGAATCTGTCATCCATGAATTTAGCTAAACTATTTCTGAAGTTTGTTTTTTTTCTGGCTCTTGCCATGTCTTGACATAAGTGATTCAATACATTCTCTGCTGGCTGTATAAAATAGCACTTAAGTGTTTCTAAATGCATGCCTTTGAAATTTCAAAAGGCATACTTCTCTTTTAATATTTGATCAATACATTTTTTGTGTCTTCCTCTGTAATTAGTACTGCTGTGGTAGATTAGCCACTTTGAGAAAGTCTAACAAATGAAAGGGAGCTCAGAGATAATGATGGTAAAATTCCTGTTTTTTTTTTTTTGCAAGAATCCCCTCTATCCATCTGTGAAGCCTGTTTATTTTGTTTCTGTGATCACTTTTAGTGACACCTCTAAATATAGTGAAATATAGTGAAATCTCTGTATTGATCCTGAGTCTGGAATCTGGACACTGCCCTTGTAAATGTCCACTGAATGTCCTAGTATTATGGTTCGGAGCTACATAGAATTGTCATTCTTTTACAGTTTGATGCTATTTGAAAGTAGCTACTATTTCCTGGCTTTTCTATACTAACAAATATCTCTCTCTGAAATGACCTCTCAGATGTAGTGTCTTCAGGGTCTGCCATTATCTTAGTTACTTGTTGCTAGATATTGTCCAGTTTGTCAGTGTCGCTCTTAAACACAACTGTCTAGATTGGTGTATATGAACTGCAAGGTACTATGTTTCCCTATTCCCATATGATCTGGTTCTTGCTTTTCTCTCTACCTAAAATGACTTTCTTCCCTCTCTCTGCCTGGGAATCACAGATTCATCTCACTGGACCTTGCTCAGTTGTTACTTCATTTTTTCAATTTGTGACTGAATCCTCATGGCAAAGCTCAGTACTCTCTTCTTGGTGCTTTGCCTCCCTTTGGTTCATTTATCTGTTATTGCACTCATCATAATGGCGTAAAATTGATAGATGTCTGTCTCCTTTTCTAGGCTATTCTTCATGGATCAGGGAAAATGAATCAATAAAATTTACATATATATGCACAGAGTACAGCTCTTGAAATATAATAAATGCTTAGTGAAGCTTATTTATGCATATCACATAGGTTAAAATTTCAAAGTGGTGAATAAAATGATTCTCATTTATTCTTACTTGAATTCACAGAAAGACAAGTTTCGTATCTATGATGAATATTGTAGTAACCATGAGAAGGCACAAAAATTGCTTCTTGAACTTAACAAAATAAGAACAGTCCGGACTTTTCTTTTGGTAAGTGTGTATTTATGTGTTACTGTGTGTTGATATTTGTTGATAGGTGCAGTAAGAACCAAGAAATAGCATGAATATGGTATAAAAGTCTGTGGGATAACTCTTTTAGCATCTCTAGGAAGCTAGAATCCGTTGATAAATATGAGAAGTGAGGACTGGGATAAGCTTGTATATGGGGAAATACCGCTAATGTCCTCTCCTGGTTGATTAGAGATTGTCTGTGAGACCCCGCAGTTTCCTAGCGAGAGAAGAACTTATGCCCAGAGTTCTTCATGCTTTATAGTCCCAACTCCCTAGGGTTTTATTTACTTCTGCTGAGGGAGCTGTTAAGTAGGGCAGTGGCAAGAAGGAAGTAAATCGTAGATACGGTAGAAAATAAATGTGAAGATTGACCTTTCTCTTACATACATTCATTCCTTATTCGGGTTTCATAAAAACAGCAAGAATGTATGTTTAATTTCTTTAGGTTAGCACAAATAAATGCATACTTTGGCAGTTGCTTGGACAATTTAATGGCCAGTGAGGACCAGATTGTAAGCCTACACTTCAGTGATATTTAGCAAATTGTGGCATTGTACAGCCATCCCCCAAATCCAGTTTTAATTTCCATCGCCTCAGAAAGACCTTCGTGTGCCTTTCCAGCCCATCTCTCCTCCCGTCATTAGCTCCAAGCAACGACTGATTTGCTTTCATCTCTACAGATTTGCCTTTTCTGGAGATTTTATATAAGCGGAATCATATAATGTAATCTTTTGTGCCTGGCTTCTTTTTACTTAGTAAAATGTTTTTGATGTTTGTCCTTGTTATAGCATGTATCTATTTTCCATTCATTTTTGTCGCTGAATAGTATTCCATTGCGTGGCTATACCATATTTTGTTTACCCATTTGCCAGGTAATAGACTGGGTCTGTGTCCAGTTTTGGCTAGTATAAATAATGCTGTTATGAACATTCATGTACAAGTCTTTGTGTGGATGTTTATTTTAATTCTCTTGGGTAGCTACTAAGAGTGGGATTGCTGGGTTGTATGATAAGTTTACTTTTAAGAAACTACAATATGATTTGCAGGTGTGGTTGTGCCATATCCAAAAACAATGTATGTGGATTCCAGTTTCTCTATATCTTTGTCAAGACTTGGTATTATCAGTCTTTCTCGTTCTAGCCATGCTAATAAGTGTATAGTGGTATCTCGTAGTGGTCACTGTATTTTGCTAATGACTAATGATATTAAGCATGCTGTCATGTGCTCATTAACCACTAATGTATCTTTTTTGGTGAAATGCTTATTCAAATCTTTTAAATTGGGATGTTTATCTCATATTGAGCCATAAGTATTTATTATTTTGGATAGAAGTCCTATATAAGCTATATAATTTGCAAATACAAGTTTCCTCTTAGTGTGGTTTGTCTTTTCATTTTTAAAATATTATCTTTTAAAAATTGAAAGTTTTAAATTTTGATGAAGTCCAATATATTAAATTTTTTTCATTGTGATCATATTTAAGAAATCTGTATTCAGGTTTTGTACTTATTTTGTAAAGTTTTTTTTCTAAGTATTTTATTCTTCTTTGATGTTATTGTGATTGGATTTGTCTTAATGCTATTTTTGAACTATTTATTGTTAGTATATAGAAAGTCACTTTACTTTTGTATATTGATCTTATATCCATTGGTCTAAATCCATGTATTAGTTAGGTAGTTCTTTTGTAGGTTATTTAGGAATTTTGCATATGTCATCTGAAGAAAAGACAGTTTTACTTCTTTTCCAGTGTGGATGCCTTGTTTTTTTTTTTTTCCCCTTGCCTTGTTGCACTAGCTAGAATCTTCAGTACAGGCTGAATAGAAGTGATCAGAGCAGGCACCTCTGCCGTGGTTCTGATCTTAGGGGGAAAACTTTCAGTCCTTCATCATTTAAGTATGATGTTAGCTATTGGTTTTTAAGTGGATGTCATTTCTTAGGTCGAAGTTCCATTATATTCCTAGTTCACTGAGAGATTTTATGTCTTAAATTATCCAGTTATTGAGGGTGGATACTGAAATCTCCAAGTATAATTAAGTTGTCTATTTCACCCTTCTATTATGTCAGTTTTTGTTTTAGGTATTTTGGAGCTCTGTTGTTAGATATGTATGCATTCATAATTGTTATATTCATATTTCTATTTATCATCAGTAATGTCTCTTTTTGTCCCTAGGAGTATTTCTTCTGTTAAAGTCTATTTTTCCTAGCCATGGTAGCTCTCTTACAGTTTGTATATTATATGTTTTTCCGTTATTTTACTTATAAACTATTTATGATCCTTGAAATGTATCTGGTAGAAGGCATATTGTTGGATCTTGCTTTTATTAATCCAGTCTGACAATCTCTGTCTTTTGATTGGAATGTTTAGTTTGTTTACCTTTAATGTAATTATTGATACAGTTGTATTTACATGTACCCTTTTTTATTTTTTTCTTTATGTCTCTTTTTTTTGCTCCTCTGCTCTTCTTTTATTGCCTATTTTTGTGTTAAAAAGCATTTTTAATGTACCATTTTAATTTCTGTGTTGATTTTTTTAAATTACATTTTTAAGGTTTTTTTTTTTTTGGTGATTGCTCTAGGAACTACAATATATATCTTATCAATTCCGTTTTAGGTTAATACTGATTTGAATTGAAATACAGGGGAAATTTTGCTATAATATTTCCTGGTAGAAATGAGAAATGTTCCATTTCATCTCCCCTCTATTATGCTATTTTTGCTATATATATTACATTATATATGTTATGAACTACATAACAGAGTGTTACAATTAATGCTTTCTATATTTTTCTACAGATTTTTATATTTACCTACAATATCTACCATTTCCGTTGCTCTTATTTTTTCCTGTGTATTCGACTCTGATGTCAGGCTTTTCAGCCTGAAGAACTTCCTTTAGTACTTCTTGTAAGTCATTTCTACTGGTTGTGACTTCTCTACGTCTTTGTTTATCTGGCAAGGCCTTCATTTTGCCTTCCTTTTTGAAGAGTTGTTTTGTTGGATGTAGAACTCTTCATTGATAGATTTTTTTTTCCTTTCAGTGCTTTTAATATGTCATTCCACTACCTTATGGCTTCCGTTGTGTCTGATGAGGAGGCATCTGCTATAACTGTATTGTCGTTATACTTTATACGACAGGTCACAGTGCTTTCTTGCTGCTTTCAAGATTTTCTCTTTGTCTTTCAGTAGTTCAACTATGATGTGTTTAGCTGTGGATATAATTGTACTTTCCTTACTTGTAGTTGAGCTTTTTAATTATTTAATTAATTATTTTCTTCAAATTTGGGAAGTTTTTAGCCATTCCTTAAAAAAATATATTAATGTGACCCTTTTGTTTTCTTCTTTAGTGACTCCCATTACTCATGTGTTGGTAAGCTTAATGTTTCTCCTTGATTCCTGATGCTCTTTTCATTTTTCTATACTCTTTCTTTTCTTCTCCGTTCTTCAGATTGGATGATTTTTACTTATTTATTGTCGACTCAACTGATTATTTTTTTCTTCCATCTCGTATCTACTGTTTAGCCTAGCTAGTGAATTATTTATTTTATCTCATGTTCATTTGACTCGATTTTATAGTTTCTAATTCTCTGTTGAGATTTTCTGTTTGTGTACTCACTATTAGCATATTGTCCTTTAAGTTTTTAAACACGGTTTAAACACTTTTTGAACATATTTAAAATAGCTATTTCGGAGTCTTTGTTTGCTAAATCCAGCATCTGGTACGCTCAGAGTTAGTTTATATTGACTGTGTATCAGTCACATTTTCCTATTCCTTTGTATATGTCGTATTTTTCATTGAAAACTAGATGTTTCAAATAATGTAGCAACTCTGGATTCTGATATTTTTTTCCCTAAGGTTGGTTATTATTGTTGTTTTGTTTGTTCTGTTTTGTTTTTAGTAACATGCCTGGACTTAGTCTGTGAACCTGTCTTGCTGATATGTGCAGTTGATGATATTTCTGCTCAGTTTTTAATTTTTATAATTTAGCCTAGTTTTTTAGGGATCAGTCCTGTGACTGCTTAGCTTAGTGGTCAGTTAGTGATTTGTCAGAGGTAGTCAAACATTGTTATCTCTCTTGTCCACAGATCTGTGTGTGAGTGTGGGTGGGGGCACATCCAAAGGGTAGGCAGTTTTCAAGTCAGATCTGGGTTTTTGCTCTCCTGGGGCCCTTTGAGGTCTTCCCTGCACGTGTGCACAGCCTCCCGGCCAGCCAGAGATAAATGCAGAGTTTCTCTAAACCCTCTATAGCTCTCCAGGTTATCCCTATTAAAATTTTGGCTCATTTGTATACCAGTTTGACACTTGCCCCAGGCAGGACAGCAATCTCAGGCTAGAATTGTGGACATTCCCTATTTTTCCTATGGAATTTGCTAATTTTATCGACACCGCCAACACTGTGGGATTTTTGCTCTCTGTGGCCCTCCATATCCTTCCCTGGCAGCAGGTTTTCGGGGTCTATGCTACCATGATAACGCCACAGTGAGAACGCCCCTGTGCAAAACAAGCTGGTGAGTGCAGGACACATGGTGCTGGGAGAAGCCTGGGCAAGAATTCCGCAGACTCACACCGTTCTTACATGAAGTTCAGCAGTTTTTTATGAATGAACACTTCTCAATTTGTTTTTTGACGTTAGTTGATTTCCAGAGCCCTGAAATTGTTGTTTTTGACAATTTTTCCCCAGTATTATAGTTGTTTTTTGGGAAAAGCATTTACTGATCTCTTCCTCTGCCATGGCTAGAAGAGGTTCCTATCCTGATGAAATTTTAAGCCTCTTTATAAAGTGTAGGAACTCTGCTGTCTTATCTAATGCATTCTGTTCCCCGCAGTGTTGACTTGGGGGTCACTTTAGTCTAGTTTGCGTAGTGAATTCTGTGAAGCCACATTGAAAAAGTCACAGGTCAAGAATTCTGGTTTTAGACAATCTTACAGCATAGTGTGGTAGATGGAATGTGGCTTCTGTAGTTCTTGCCCTGGCACTAACTGGCCACAAATGATCTGGATGGCTTTAGGACATTCATTCTATCTCTGGTGTCATTTTCCTTGTTCATTAAATGCAAATAATAACGATCACCCTTTGAAAAACACATGGAACTTTACAGATTTTGGGTGATGATCGTATCATTATTTTGTGTTACCTTGGTAAGTTTTTATCATTGGTGAAATCTCTGGGAGCTTATTTAGGAAACCTAGTCTTTATGTATACATAAAGAGAGATTTAGGCCGGGCGCGGTGGCTCACGCCTGTAATCCTAGCTCTCTGGGAGGCCGAGGCAGGCGGATTGTTTGAACTCAGGAGTTCGCAGCCTGAGCAAGAGCGAGACCCCGTCACTACTAAAAGTAGAAAGAAATTAATTGGACAACTAAAAATATATAGAGAAATTAGCCGGGCATGGTGGCGTATGCCTGTAGTCCCAGCTACTCGGGAGGCTGAGGCAGGAGGATCTCTTGAGCCCAGGAGTTTCACTCTAGCCCGGGCAAAAGAGTGAGACTCTGTCTCAAAAAAAAAAAAAAAAAAAAAAAAAAGAGAGAGAGATTTGGCTCTCATATAAGCCAGTCTAAAGTGGTGACCAACCTCTGCTCTTTGGAAGAGAGTTCACATTCTACAAAGTTCTAATGGACAAGGAAATGACAGTGGGCTAGTCTAGACTGTCATGAGTTCTCTTAGTTAGGGCACTTCAGCCCAGAGCTGGGTCGGTGAGGGGTGACCACATTTACAAGGGTGCTACCTCATACTGGATACTGACAGATCACTGGAAATATAATGAGATGTAGATAGTTGTGTTCTGTAGGATTTTTCTGGGAAAATACCATACATGGTTTGAAAGGATACTTTGATAACCTGATTGCAGTAGGGAGTGAAACCCCCAAAGAACATGCTTGTGTAAGAACATGTGTTTGCTGCTCTGCCTTCTAAGGTGTCTGGGTGAAGTGACATTCATGGCTCTGGTTTTGCTGACTTGAGTGAACAAATTGAGGCTGACACGGATTAGCTCAGGACAGTGGAGGGTTGTTCTGCCACCACTGGTTTTCCTTTTGCATCCTTTCCTGCTCAGCATTCGGCCTCTCCTGCCAATGCACATGGAATGGTATTTTTAAAATAATGGTATGAAAGAGACTGACTTAGTTTGACATTTGAAGTGCCCTCTTCTCCCTTCGTCAGGTATTTAAGTACTTCTTCTATGCCAGTCACTCTGATAGGCACTGCAGAAGTCAGGTTTTGGCAAGTTTCAAGTCATTTCTTGGATTGTTTGCTTACGAGGCTTTAAGTCAGAGTCAGTTTCTCTTGACCACCACTTTATGGTCAGTGGAAGCTGCTTTAATTTCACCTCACTCTGATTGCTGATTTTGAGAATTCTCCATTCGCCTTGCTTCTGTGGACAAGACCTCCTTCTCTGACGCTGGGTGGCCAGTATCTTTGGTGAAGTGTGATAGCAAAAAGTGACTTAGAGATCACTGGCTTAAAACCTGCCAGTTTTACAATGAGAAAAACTAGAATTCTGAAATCAGTCTAAGTTGTATAACTAGTCAGTGGCCGAGTCTGAGTTAGAACCCAATTGTACTTATGCCTACCTTTCTGTAATACAGTGTACCTTTCTTTATAAAGCAAAATCTATCATCTGTCTATCTCTCCATCCATCCATCCATCCATCCGTTAATTCATCCCTCTATCGCTTTCTCTATCTTTTTCGTCAGGCTTCATACGCAGGAGAATATATGTGAATTAATTTTTAAGATACAGATTCAAAACACATTTTGGGATCTGTAACTAATGTAAAAGCCCAAGTGTTTCTCTTCGTCTCTCTGTAAATGTTATTTGTGACTGAATATACTCTTCTTAGGGAAAGAAGGTATGTGAAGACATATGCCTTCACAAATTTTCAACATTTTATGGTAGAAGAAAGTTTCATAGCCTAAGATTTAAAGAATGTGGTTAACAACAATTATTTTCACCACAGAACTGCATGCTGCTTGGAGGACGGAAGAACACAGATGTTCCCTTGGAAGGATATTTAGTAACACCAATACAAAGAATATGCAAGTACCCTCTCATTTTGAAGGTATTTTATGCGTGACCTCAACTGTAGCCTTTTCCTTATACCTGCATATTTTGCTGATGATCTTTTAAAAGATTTTTCCTTTTAGAAAGTATGACATTCTAAAGAAAGAGCAGACCATAATTACTGGGAAAAATGGCTATTTTGTCACAAATTTATTTATAGTGTAGGAAATACATTTTCAGCGGAAAAGCCACTAAAAGAGGCTTTTAGTGCTCTTTGTAGGAAACACACTTGTTTGAGTTTCATTTAGAGGAAGTGCATTAGTTTCAAGATAGATCCCATTAAGTTCATTATGACCAGTTTT